TAATTAGCTTTGCTTGACCAACAGCTTTTCTGAAGATCTTCTGCAGAGTTTGTAAAACAGAAAGCGAGAGATAGGATCAGTTTGTGTTTTAATGTGGTTGCCGTTTGGTGAGCAGATGGGACAAAGCCCAGAATCAATGTGTGGATGCAGCAAGAAGGCTATAGCTATATAAGTCCAGAGGAGAGGTGAAAGGAGTTTGGAATTTGGACATGACAATGGAGCTGGGATAAATGGATGGATTGGAGACATCTTTTGGAGGTAAATCCGACAAGGTCTGCTCGTAGGTTGGACACTGGGGAAGAGATGGAGACAGAGATATTAAGCATCAATTGTAAATTCTGGTTTGCTGAACTAGATAATGATGTCATTCACTGAGACGGAAGCACGGGCAAAGGAACTTGTTTGAACAGGGGTGTAGAAAATCCTGAGTCAGTTCTGAGCACGCTGAATTTGAGTGGGACCTGAGTGGAGCTGTCAAGTAAGCATTTGCCCATGTGGGCATGGAGCTCACAAAGGTCTGAGAAAGCAATGGCCAAATACTAAGAAAATATTTATTCTCACCTCCACTGGGGTCCCTATTAAAATTTCTTACAATTTCAAATCAAAATGCCCTCTAGGCTATTGCCCTCCAACTTCAATGGCAAAAAGCAGACAAGAAAATTTCTATCTTCTGGTTTGAGAAAGGGGCCATGACAGTGTAATTACTGTCCTCTTAGGCCAACCTAGGTCTTGATGTTTTCCTGTTTGCCAAGTAACTGTGGGATGTCAGACACGGATTGCCAGGATTAGTTCAAGATGACCCTTTCCTCTCTACACATCTACAACAGCAAAGTGAAGAAGTTTAGAGCCCGGGTTCTGGGTGGAGGTGGATTTAGATTTGACCCTGGGGTCTACCACTCAGTAGTCTGATCATCTTGGAGAATTTTCTTACACTATTTGTGTACCAGGTTCCTTGATTGTAAAATGAGGATAATAAAACTCTCACCTTGATCGAGTTTTGTAAGGTGTGTGTAAGACCATGTAAATGTACTATAGTTGGCACAGTCCTTGGCATGTCAATGTGGACTCAGTAAATGTTAGCTACTGTCGCCATCATCCTTGGTTTTCTGCATTAGAGGAGGCTCAAACTTGTAGAATTTGCCATGAGGAACACCGCACCTGCAGGACTAACAGGTTCAAGAAACAGGAAACCTGTATTATCTTTCTCCTTTTGGCTATAGCACTCCACACACTCCCCCTGCCCCAGGGGAATTTTCTTTAATGGTCTGGGTGTCCAATGCTTCGTTGGTTCAGTCTAATGGCCCCCCGGAAGTTAAGACTCGTAAGTAATTTCTTGTATCATATCTGGTTGGCTGACTTACAGCTCACATTTTACATGACCAAAACCAGGTAAAGCTACTCTTCTTGCAGCCCTCATCCCAGTAATGGCAATTCCTTTCTTATGGTTGCCCAAGCCAAAGGTAAATGAAACTATCCTTCATTTCTCATTTCTTTTTAAATACTCTACTCCATTAGCCAAGATTCCTCCTTTCAGTGCCTCTGGGATCAGACCCGTTTTCACCGCTTCCTTCACTACACCTCTAGCATAAACCACCAGAGTCTCTTGTTTGTGCTATTGCAATTGCCCCCATTTGATCTCCACCCTCGCCCATGCACGCCCTATTCTCCAAACAGCAATCAGAGTGATCCTCCGAAAATATAAGCTGAATCATGTCAATACCCTGTTCAGATGCTCCAGTGTGTTTCCATCTAAGTCTCCATCTACATGGTCCAGTGTCCTGACTCCCAGATATGTCCCTGATTCCATCACCCTATTCTGACTACCACTCACCCCCATCAGTCCCTCCACTCCAGCCACACTTAGCTCCACGCTGGTCCTTGGATGGATCACAAGTGCAGCTCCTCAGCCTTCAGCTTACCAAGCCCTCCTCCTGGAACGCCCTTTCCCCAGATACCCACGGGGCTCTCTCTCCACTTCCTTGATCTCCATGCAGAGGTTCCCATGTCAGAGAGGCCCTGCCTAACCAACTTCTCTCCGACAGCCAAGTCCACCCTCACTGCTACTATATTCCATCCCTTTACTCTCTTTGTCTTCAAAATACACATTGCCACCTGACTTGTTACATAGTGACTTGATTGTCAGCCCCAAGGATATAGAAAGCTTCACAGGAGCAGAGATTTTGTCTATTTCAGTCACTGGGTATTCCCTACATCCTAGATAACAGCCTGGAACATAGTAGGCCCATTAGCAATACATTTAAAGGGTGAATGAATTACAATAAACCTTTTATCAAAAAATTTTTCTTGACCATTCAGTCAAGTACCTGACTGGGGGTGGTATATCTGAACATTTTAAGGAGAAAGGAGTGGGATGTTCAAAGTACTGGTAGCAGTTGGTTTTTTTTTTTGCCATTGAGCAAGGAACTGTCATCTTTCAAAAAAAGGCCCAACAGGAGCTGAGCTCAGGCTACTGAGTCTCCCATGGCCTGCCTTGTAGATGAAGAAAGACTGAACAAGAGGCAAATCCATACTTGGCTATTAACTGTTTTTTCCACCTTATTCCAGGTGTTAACTAAAAAACAGACCACTTCCAACCTACTCTCTCACAATTATTTAACTAAAATGCCAACAGAGCCCAAATTACTTCTAAAATGTATTGGTACCAAATGAACTAATTTACAAAACAGAAACAGACTCACAGACTTAGAAAACAAAATTAAGGTTAACAAAGGGGAAATGTAGTAGAAGGGATAAGTTAGGAGGTTGAGATTAACATGTACACATTAACATATATAAAATAGATAATCAACAAGGACCTGCTGTATAGCACAGGGAACTGTACTCAACACTGTAATAACCTATATGGGAAAGAATATGAAAAAGAAAAGATATATGTATATGTATAACTGAAATCAAGCTGCTGTACACTGACAACAAACACAACATTGTAAATCAACTCTACTCCAATATAGAATAAAAGTTTAAAAAAAGATTTTAACACTTATAAAAAATAAAATAAAATGACTATGTGTTACTTACAAAATAAATAAATAAAATGTATTGGTACAATCCAGTAAAGGGGGGTGACAGGAAAAGAAAAGCCAAACACCGTGTGCTCACAGCTTTTATTTCATTAAACCCAAATTACTGCAAACATCAATTTCAGATCATTTTAGGAAGACGTTAAAACAAAAAGGCAACAAGAAATGCAATACACACACACACACAGATACCTATCACCAGAGACTGAAGTAATTCAGAGAAAGATTAAAATATTCTTTGACTGATGGAGATATTGAGAAATGACACACCCTAAAATGAGAATATGGAATAAAAGCAAATAGTACACATCTGCTTTTTTTTTTTTTTTTTTTTTT